AAAGTATGTCAGAGCAGAGAGGATTCATCTTGTATCGGCCAAAAGGCTTAGCTCGCATTTTAGACAGTGCTGTCGAAGTGGAGGAGTGAGGTGCGTCGACAGTGTGTGGTAGACTGTACTGCTCAGCATTCTAAGCATGTACCGAAAACTGTATAAGTTGTTAGCACATGTGTGTTACAGCGCATATAGCAGAGAGAAGGCAGATGAGTAAGCAAACACGTATAACAAGTTAAAGCTGGATTACCTCACTTTATTCTATATTCATTACAAAAATATACGTCCTTTTGAAGAATAAGTAGCGCTGGTTTGTGCTGGAGTGTCATTTCATTTTAGATTTAATTTTCCCTGCAATAAGGAAGATAATTTGTTTCAGGACCAGATTGTGACCAATCACAGCGGACCACTGGCCCCCACTTTCTTGAGAAAATCTACAGGTCTCTGGTTAGCACAGACAGCTGAGGTAAACAAGCAGCGGAGGCTAAACTGAAACTTCCTGTGTCTTTGTTTCCGGTTTCTGCTTACACAGCAAAACGGCCATCTAAAAGAAAGTTTTGTCCTTTGCGCTTCCTGGTTCTATCATTCTATGGTCACGCATCCACGTTCAAATGTGTGATCCATATTGTGAGACGTGAGCGCCATAAACAACAGCACATGAGCACACGCTGAGTGGGAGAGGGGTAGTGGGGGGCGATAGCTTCGTGAGTGCGGGGAGGGGGGCAGAAAGAGCGAGGGCAGCGCTTACATATGAAACTGCTGAGTTAGTTCAGCTTTAATTAATTGTTTCATGGATTTTTTAACCCTTACATAGACTTAAAGGTATTTAGAAGGACTTTCCCAAATTTTAGGAAACAACCGCCATCTCCACTTATTGAATAAAACTCTCTGGTCTTTTTTGACAAGCATTTATTACCAGAATGATTGACAATTGACCAATAGTCTCGATTTGATGCCTTTTTTATGCTCTGTAATGTGATATTGTTTACTTTATTTGGTTAGTGTGGCATATTAACTAATACCAATACTGTATTATAGTTTTGTGCATGCATGTCGGTGAGATTTGTAGAATCAACCTCAGCTTTGCCTTGTGCCGTTCTAGACTCTGCATCATGTGTTTAAACCGTTCAACACTTGCATATTATAACGTATATGTAATCCTCGACACATTCAGAAAAACACGTTTGAATATGGGAAAACAACTTAATTCAATATCCTGTGGTACAATAGGCCTTTTAAAATCATCAGTCATAATACAAACTGTTTGTGCTCAGTCTGTGTGTTGCTATGGTGATGTCTCAGGCAGAGTTATATAGCATAGGTTTAAACCGTAATCATTGGTAATTGATAGTCCTGCAAAATATTATTTTTCAGAATTTGCAAAGTAGCTATATGTTTTAAGGCTGTAAAACCCTTTATCACACACGTTTCTAACTGTTTGTTGTAGGTCTAAGCCAGGGGTGCTCACACTTTTTCAGCATGCGAGCTACTTATAAAAGGATCAAGTCAAAATGATCTACCTACTACAAAAATGCAAATCATATATTTATTTCAAAAAATATTCTTTATACCTACAATGTATGTTTATGTACATGCAAAACCGCATGAGCCATTATAGCACAACACAACACAATTACCTATGTAAATTTTTTGTCATTACCCGAGTTTACTCTGATGACTTGCACTGAATTGAATCGGCCAGGGATGCATAGTCCGGAAAATTGGTGGTAACTCGCTGACAAGTTTGTCGTGGTTTAGCTTTCCTGCACTGAGCGCGCTTGTTTGCGCATGTGCAGTCTCCTAAGTGTCAGTAAAACATTACTGAGTAAAACACAGATGCCATTTGACTGTGGTGCCATGCCTGTTTTTTTTAAATCCAAATATTTCCCCTCCTCAGTTTATAAAATAATTTGCATCCACACATCTGCGTTATCAATCACATTCGTAACATTCCAAACATGTGCGTCTCTTACGTCCTGTCCTGCGTTGGGGAAAAACACAGAAGTGGGCGGAGCTTTGATGCAGACGCCGGTAACGGCACTTTTACAGTCATAGAAGACACTCAGAGTAAGACGTATGTTTACAAGCACTGACCCCGTCCTCAGCCCTGGTTTAGTCCTGGTTTAGTCCTGGTTTGGTTGTTTTCGAGCGTGAGTCCCCGCGATCACTTTGCTGCTCTCTGATGTGGAGGATGTTCGCTGCTGCGAGCATCTCACAGCGAACAGTTTTTAAGGTAGTATGATCCATGCTTCAGTGATCAGAGGAATTTAGGGGGGTACTGTGTCGTGCGAGAACGCAAAACTCCGGTTATCTCTGTCTACACCATGGATGTATTATATTAACTGGATAGGGTATTACTAGCTTGTAGCTGAATAACTCACGTGCTCAGGGGATTCTCGCGGTACTGCAGACTGAACCAGACTAAATTCACGTGGGCTACCCAGAAATTTTCCCCATAGAACTCAATGCATATTAAAACAGCTCAACCTCAGCTGACAGAGAACCGACAGCTTTAATAAATATCGGATTTTGTGGGGATTTTAGTGTCCCTTGTCATCCTGAACTTTTTTTCTTCTTAAATCCTTCGGTTTTGTTTAAATCCACACTTTAGTGCCACAAACTCTACTCGTCTGGCTCTCGCTCTAACTCCCGCTCTGATGAACTGCTCTGATTGGTCAGAGCGCGGCCGAGCCCCTCTGTGCACGTGTGTGAGACCTGGTGTGAGACCCACACACGCGTGTTTGGTGCAACGCATTATGGGAGATCATCCACTGCGCGCAGAACCGGGAGGACCAGACGATGCCCAAATACAGGCGAGTTTCCCATAGATCTTTGCGAGTTTCAGGCAACTTCCGCTAATCTTTCAGCCCCCATGCCGTCACAAAGCGCCACTGAGCACAACCATTCATTTGAATAGGGCGCCATCTTGGATCGCCGGGGCTTGGTCTACACACAAATGCATTAACCGAGTTTTCAAAAATCTCCACTTTGCCCGGAGTTTTTTGTATATATTTGTTTAGAATGTATAATTTTTTTATTTATTTAATGCGATCTACCAATACTACCTTTGCGATCGACTGGTAGATCGCGATCAACGTATTGAGCACCCCTGGTCTAAGCACTGCTGCAGACCATCACAAGCCACACAAGTTTTACTTGCAGTTATATTTTGTTTTTATAGGATCTTGTTGGAGTATACATGCGGCACATGGGAAGCACACTGTAAAAACGCATGCATTGGACGCACAAAAAACAGCAAGGTCACAATATGTGAACCACATTTTAGTAAGGGACCACTGTACTTATTTTGCAATAAAGAAAACATGTTACATGTCATATGTTTTTTCACACAGTAAATTATTTTTGTTTCAACAAGTACTCTTTTTAATAATATTGACTATTTAAGAATGTAAAGATGTGGACTGTAATAAAGTTGATGGATGACTTGATTAATCAAAGGCAATAATTGAATAAATGATTTGAAAATTTTAATTACGGAAATTATGCGCAGCTGCATTTCTAATGATATATTACTGTACATATCATCTTCATCACCCGCTCACTCCTGCATGGTGAGGTTGATTCAGGGTGCTTTAATGATGACTCAGTGGTTCAACAGTGTCTCAGTCACTTGACCCATTTTAATCCTTCTTGTATAACTCTGTTGTTTAAAGTTCTGACCCTCACAGTAATCCCCACTTGACCAGTTCTCTTCATGAAAAGCGCTCTCACGAACCCTTTCATTCGGGCGCTGTGTTTAGCTTCTGGCCTAAATACTGTTTCCCATGAGAACATCAGAACAAGGTGAAACTGATTCTTCCCAAATCAGCTCCATCTCTCCTGGGATGTCTGTGTTTTTCTCCCATTGACTCTTCTTGTCTGAAATCAATAGAGCATTCTTCAGGGACCACACTCTCACTGCTGTTCTGTATTTACTCATTTAACCATTTACATACAGTGGAAAGTTGGAATTGTCATGTAAAAACGACACATGATGATGTATTTTATGTATTTTTGGTTTCAAATGGCCGCTACTGTAAAAACTATTTTATAAAGGGCCTCAATCCTTTTTGTAAACATCATTCACGTATACAACCTATTCCTTGTATGAATGTGGGCATAATGCATTAAATAAGCACTGTATATCCATGCACAAACGCCACAATTTAACAGTTTACGCATTGATGGCCTTAATTTTCCTCACATTTTACCGTCTATTCCATGTGGTGTTCAACTGAGCGCACAGAAAAAAAGTTTGTATGAAACAGCTGTCAGGACCTGTTCTCGGGTGTGAACGTGAGCTCTATGTATGACGGTAAAACCGTAGTCTGGTCAGGAGGGTCCGGTTCTGTGCATAAATCTTGTGTTCCACTGTTTGCCTGGTTCTTTACAGTACTTTCATCTCTGTGACTCCACTTTGAGCTGCAGTCTGATTCGTGGTCAGAACCGCCTGTCCCGGTTTGGGTTCAGACTCTTGTTAAACACGTTGATTAAATGTATTGATCATAGTTGTCCATACAGGCATCATATGGTCAATAGTATCGCAATAGTATCATGAGCTCTGGTTGGTCCCACAGCCGTCACTTCAGTGGGTTTATTGTCATACCTCGATGATTTACAGATTAACAGCGTTTTCAATAACCGTAATTATCACACAAAATGAATCTGAACATTTCTTTCATTCAATTCAATGTATTCCTGCATCAGCAACACACAAAACCACAAACAATTTCAAATTCATGACTCAATTCATTACGCACATTTTAACTGAGCACAATTTGTACGGGCCTCCATTCCAGATTGCACAAACGTTATCTTTCCATGCACAGATAATGCTGTATTTTACTGTGGCGTGTGTCATTGCGTAATAGCCATTTATCTGAGACCTAACGAAGTCTATCATTTAACGTAATCAGAAAGGATCAGAAATCCAGAAAGATGGAGCTGAAGGGATCGTTCACACTTAACTGAATTTTTTTGGTTGTTTTTTGTTTGTTTATTCTCAGACGTGAGCCAGGTGATCCAGGTGAGTGAGATCGTATTTGTCCAGAAGACGGAAGAAGAACATCTACAGGCCAGTAGGAGGAAGAGCAGCACCAAGCAACCTGACCAGCTGATCAGCAACACCTTTACCGGTACAAAACTACATGAAGTATTTAATTCATGTAGTTTTATTATTATTTCAACATTATTAATATGTTGAAATTATCATTACATTCATGTTTTTTATAATTCTTTGTTTATTTTGTATTTTTGTTCCGCATTTGTCACAAAAATTAGATTTTTTTTTTTTTGACATTTAAAATGGAAAACATCGAATACTTATACAAGGAACTAACACATGAACCTGGCGTGTGGGCAGACACAGGAGAGGCCCGTGGTGTAGCATGGAGCTCAAGCAGATGGTGGAACTGGTGTGAAGACTGGTCTGGTTTGTGGTTCATTTACACAGTTTGAGCTACATAGGGAGGGGAGGGGGGGGGGGGGGGGTCTTGTGGGGGCCTATGCTGCACAGATGACCCATGAGGAGAGTCTGGCCTTTTACAAATGTTGGTCACTCTCTGCAGTGAGTGACCAACATTTGCAAAAAGACAAAAGCCATGCAGTCCCTCTCTGCTTTACATTAGGTTTTGTGTGCTTTCTCTTGCTTCTTCTCGACACGGTGGCTGAGATGATAGCACTCTCGCTTGCAGGTTCTCCTCATGTCTGCTTAGGTTTCCTCTGGGTGCTCTGCTTTCCCTTACCTCTAAAAACATGCACGAAGGTAATGAGTGAGTGAAATGAATGGAGGCTTTGATGCGGCGTCTTGCTTCCGTCATCACCGTATGTGGACAGAATGAAACTCTGAACTTTGGGAAGCGCTTTGGGTGACCTTGGTCCGTAAAAATGCGGTATATAAACAAAGATTACTTACTTACTTACTTCTCTGCTGGTCACTTGATTTCACACTGGTCTCCACGCCAGTCTCCATGCCGGTCTCGCCATTGATTTGAGCTCCGCGCTTTACCCCAGGGTTCTCACGTACCAAGGGAGCACAGAGTTCCATAGGTAACATAAAGTTGTGAAATTGTATTATCTAACAAGCTGATAGCATAGAAAAGTTTTTAAAAGTGAAAAACATCAAAACACTTCCCTCCCCCCCAAAAAGTTCCTCTTTGATGGGTATTTAAATTAAAACGTAATAGTGAATTTGTTGGATTTTTTTGTTTTTGTTCAATCAGCAGTAGACTTTAATGATACTTTTTTATTACTGGCGTTTTCATTTCTCTGCTAAAGGTTAAAGCCCATCACACTTAGTCCTGGTGATCTCTGGCAGTGATCCCACAGACAGTCTGCAGTTCTGTGTTAACTGGAGCATCCCTCACTTTGTGGCTCAATGGGGCTGAGGCGGCACCGTGCCATTTCACTTATGCTTTATTTTTGGCTTTTACATCCAAAAGTGACAGATTTTATATTATTTATCCATGCAAAATGTTTAAAAATTGCTTCTCTAATGTGATCTTGCACTGGCACATTACTCTGTGAACTGACAAGGCTGCGTTTCCCCCGTTTCTAAAACTTGGCTGAAAGTACCAACGACTTCTGATTATGTAACACATTAAAGACTGAGTTAGTAGGCTTTTTAAATGGCTGCACTTCATCCTTGCACTAGATTGTACTGCAAGTCCCTCCATTTGGGAAGTTGTCTGAGAAGTAACTTTTCCATTTGATGAAAAATGCTTAGCAGATAATTTGACTGCGAGATGCTTGGGGAGTGAATCTACTGTCCAGAGTGCTTAGTAAGTGTTTTCACTAAGCTAAATGTAAATATTTTAGTAATGTTCCTGACTCTTGTTCAGGCAATAGGACATTGCTTTACAAAACTGACTTCAAGTTTTAGTCAAGTGTAACAAATATTCTACTATAAAGCCATGTATGTTTGTTTTTTAATGTAATATCCTAACATCAGCCTGCTTCAGCCCATGTCTCCAACTAACTTTGTTGTCCACTAACCTAGGAGTACTTTCCCAGGTAGAATATGTACTACTTGTGACTTATGAAGTAGAATATATTCAAATAATTAAAAAAAAATACCCCTCTCAATATGGAAGTATTGAGCCTACAGAAAGAAGAACATTTAGAATAAAATTAATTACATATATTACTTTTTTTTGGACATTTTTTTATCATTTCCGATAGTGGGAAAAAAACAATATATTTTTTTTTATGATTTGCAGTATATGACAGTACGTAAACCTTTAGTGTCCACTGAAGTTACTCAACAAAGTAACTAATAATGAATCTGAGCTATGGTGATTCATTGCATTTGATTCCAGTGTTACCTTTAAAACAGATCTGGTTCCAGTAATGCATTACTTCATGACAAGGAATTTGATTAGCAACAAACAGAAAGTGGAAGTAGCTGTTGCTTCTTTTAGTTAATCCTAACAAGATAGCCCAAGAGGAATTTATGAAATGTTCAATATGTGTAATTATGTGCTTATTCTACCATTGTTTTATCTTTTGTGCTTAATAGCTCCAAGTACGTTTGATCCTTTCACTGACCAACCTAGTTCTCGTCACTGCTGAGTAATGATGCTCATACTGATAAGGAAGTAGTGTCCAATGTGCACATTTGACATTGTTGGAGCAGGTTTGAACAAAGATAAGGTGAAGAGCTGACAGCAATAGTAGATTTGTTTGATTTGTTTTGTGAGGTTTTTTTTTATTTATGGTAAATTTAGCTAAATACATATCATAGCCTTATTGAGACATACCATTTTGCTCTATTTCTTTGGCCCTATATTTCCAATGACCGCTTTCTGCTATATTGCTTTGTCTCTGTCCAGTCTCGTATGTGCAGAGGGCCGGCAAACACCAGTGGCGCTGCAGTGATGTGGTGTTTCAGTGCCCGGACCAGAGCACATGTGAGCACTGGATCACCGCTATCAGCAATCGGCTCGCACAACTCGGTGCGTACCTTTTTTATCTCTTGTGTTGAACTTTGAACACAGGCTGTTAACTTACTCTTGTAAAATGTGTGTTGTGTACACTAAGATAAGATAGGCTTTCCAAACACCGCAGCATATCAGATAGCCACTGCTGAGAAGTGTAATGTCAAGTGTACTGTATGCAGGCTCACCGAAACTAAATCGTAGTTTCCACGTGCATTATCAATCAATCAATCAATCAACGTTTATTTATAGAGCGCCTTTCCTACACAAGGCAACGCAAAGCGCCTCACAACCCATATAACATCATGCATAAATCATCAAACATTAGAATTTAAGTAAACATAAAAAGACAGATTAAGAGCACAAGATATATAAAATCACACAAGTAGTTAAAAACCGTAAAAAATTAAAATCACACAAGGGATTACAATCATAAATAATCATAAATAATCATAGCGCATTAAAAAGATTAAAGATAAAAACAAATGTAAAATCATTCACTTGTATGCACAGCTAAAAAGAACTGTTTTCAGTTCAGTTTTAAAAACTGCTAGAGTAGACGCCTGTCTCACACTCTCGGGAAGACGGTTCCAGACTCTAGCTGCATGAATCTGAAACGCAGCCTCCCCATGTCTAGTTCCGACTCTTGGCACTAACAGAAGTCCAGTCCCTGTGCTCCTCAGAGCCCGAGTTGGTTCATATGGCACCAACATGTCGCGGATGTACCCTGGTGCGAGGCCATGGAGAGACTTGTACACAAGTAAAGCTACTATAAAATCTATTCTCTGAGCCACAGGAAGCCAGTGCAGAGACCTGAGGACCGGACTAATGTGGTCGTACTTCCTGGTTCTAGTCAGGACTCGAGCTGCAGCATTTTGGATGTACTGCAGCTGTTTTACCGCTTGTTTAGAGAGACCTGTGAACAAGCCATTGCAGTAGTCCAATCGACTGGAGACAAATGCGTGGATAAGAATCTCCAAGTCTGCTTTAGACACAATGTTTTTAATTTTAGCAATGTTTCTTAGGTGGAAGTAAGCTGATGATGTCACAGATGATATGTGGCTATTGAAATTCAAGTCTGAGTCCATTATTACTCCTAGATTTCTGACCTTGTTTGAAGGTTTTAGGGAGAGAGACTGGAGGTGGCAGATAACGCTCTCTCTTTGTTTCTGAGGTCCGAAAACAATAATTTCAGTTTTTTCTGTGTTTAGCTGGAGAAAGTTATTTTGCATCCAATCACTGATCTGTTGGATACAGTGAAGGAGCGAGTCCACTGGTCCATGTTCTCCTGCTGTCAGGGACACATAGACCTGAGTATCGTCAGCGTAATTGTGATAGGACACGTTATTACTGTGTATTAACCTACCCAGAGGCAGCATGTAAATATTAAACAGGAGAGGCCCCAGGATTGAGCCCTGTGGCACTCCGCAGGTCAGGGCCAGATGGTCTGAGACACAGTTTCCGATCTCCACAAAATACTTTCTGTCCTGTAGGTAGGATATAAACCAGCTTAGGGCTGTTCCAGAAACACCAACCCAGTCCTCAAGTCTCTGAATGAGGATACCATGATCGACAGTGTCGAAAGCAGCACTCAAATCTAACAGGATAAGAACTGAGACTTTTCCTGCGTCAGTGTTAAGTCTGATGTCATTTGTTACCTTCACTAGAGCGGTCTCTGTGCTGTGGTGGGGTCTAAAACCAGACTGGAACATATCAAAAGAGTGATTGATTATTAAAAATTCTGTAAGTTGGTGATAGACAACTTTTTCTAGAATTTTACCCATGAAAGGCAGATTTGAAATGGGCCGATAACTTTTAAGTGCCAAGGCATCCAGACTCCTCTTTTTTAGGAGGGGTCTGATGACTGCCGTTTTCAGGGCCATTGGGAATGTTCCAGATTCAAGAGACATATTTACTATATGCGTGAGTGAAGGTAAAAGACTGCTCAGAACAGATTTAAGAAATCTAGGAGGTAATACATCCAGGCTACATGTAGAAGAACTCAGACTTGTAATTATCATTTGGACAGTTTCATTTTGTACTGGTGTAAAGTGTGTCAGCCCAAAAAGCTTCACTGGCTGTTGGATTGTAATTTCTACTGTGGAGGTGATGGCATTTTTGATGCCTTGGACTTTGTCATTAAAAAACTCTGCAAACTCATTACATTTGGTTTTGGAGGTAAGCTCTGATGGCATCTTAACAGGGGGATTTGTCAATTTATTTACCGTTGAGAACAGAACGCGTAGATTGCCACTACAACCTTCGATTGTTTCGGAAAAATAAGTTTCCCTCGTTCTACGTAGCACACTGTTGAACTTGCACAATGCATCTTTGAAGATCTCATGGTCAACTTGGAGATTTGACTTTCGCCACTTCCGCTCGGCTCTCCGGCACTCTCTCTTCTGTGCCCTGACAGAGTCTGCTTTTGTCCATGGCGCCTTTTGCTTATTTGTAACAATTTTGACCTTTACAGGAGCAATCGTGTCCAGAACATCCAAAACACTAGAGGTGACAGAGTTAAGTAATTCATCCACAGTAGAACACAACGTGTTATCAAAGTTTATCATCCCCATGAAAAGTTCACCTGTATTTTTGTTTATGTGTCTTCTTCTTCTAACAATTGAGGATTCAGCTCGTGCTTTACTATTGAGACACATGTCAAAAAATACACAGAAATGATCTGACAGAGCAACATTGGCCACATTTACATTTGAGATATTAACCCCTTTAGTAATTAGCAGATCGAGAGTGTGTCCTCTGCTATGGGTGGGGCCACTCACATGCTGAGTGAGACCAAAGGTTTCCAGCACAGAGCTCAGCTCTTTCGCGTATCTATCATTAACGTTATCTACATGTATATTAAAATCACCTATGACGACTAAACTATCAAAGTCTGTGCACACAACTGAAAGCAACTCGGTGAAATGATCAGTGAAACTATGACATGACTGTGGCGGCTTGTACACAACAATAATAAGAATAGAAGATTGTTTTTGTTCTATTTTAAAAGAGACATACTCAAATGAGGAAAATTTCCCAAGAGGTACTCTATGGGAGACAATACAATCTTTAAAAACTGCTGCTGTGCCTCCTCCTCTTTTATTTTCTCGAATTTCTGATTCAAATTTGAAATTTGGTGGTGTTGTTTCTATTAAAACTGCATTTTCTGTATTATGGTCAAGCCAAGTTTCAGTCATAAACATAAAGTCAAGATCATAAGAACAGATAAAATTATTAATTAAAAAGGATTTATTGCATAGTGATCTGACATTAAGCAGAGCAAGGTTAAAAATAATGTCAGTGTCAGTGGGTTTAGTTGATTGACTACAAAGAATTGGAATTAGATTTCCTGAGTTGGACCGTCTAACTGCTGTCCTTCTGTTATATTTGTGTTTATTCAAATTAAAACACATTTCTGAGCCGGTGCAAGGAACACACACAGTCTCTATTGGTTTAAAAAGTGAACTCTGTTTTACTTTGTTAAGTTCCAGATGCATGGCTGAGTAAGCACCGTTCAGTGGCAGGACTGGTATTACACTGCCAGACGGACAGGGGTCAGTGTTTGCACCACAGTACTCACCCGGTGCTGGAGTGGAGGAGGAAGGTGGTAGTGGGGGCCGAGAGGCCTCGGATGTAAACAGTCACGCCCCCCTCGGGGAGCACTGAACAACATGGCGTAAAAAGTCCATCAATAAACTGGTACCGTATCTGTTCGGGTGCAGACCATCTGGACGATAGGCCACGTGACGCTTCCAGAACAGGCCAAAGTTGTTCACAAAAACAAAGTTAAAAGTGCTGCATGCAGACTGGAGCCACATATTCAGCGCCACAACGCGACTGTACAAGCAGTCTCCCCGGTTTACAGTCGGGACTGGACCAGAGATAAAAACACACAACCCAGAGGACTGGAGAAGACGGAATAGATCCATAAAATGCTTCTTTGTGACCTCGGACTGCTGCAGCTTCATGTCGTTGATCCCCACATGCACGATTACCTTTGAAATGGTATCAGGCAGGGACTGAAGCAGAGGAGGGAGACGGATGAGCAGGTCTGGTACAGTGGCTCCGGGAAAACACTGAGTGACCGCGTTAAAAAAGCGGACGTGTCTCACGATGGAATCTCCAACAATCAAAGTAGTCGGGGCGAAGAGTGGACGTAGCCGCGGAGAAGGCGCTCGGTGTCCATGGCCGGAACCAGCGGGCTCATCCAGGGATGAGTCCGAACCAGGGCGCTGCTGAACACATGGAGGGGAGCGGGGGTGTTGATTCTCAGCTCCGGGCAACCCACGCTGTGTGCTCGGAGACGCTGGAGCGGCGAGAGGAGCAGGCTCGGGTCGCTGCTGCTGACCCGGTGAAGGTAAGTGGTGGTGATGCACTGGGGTCAGAGAAGGGGAATGACCACTCTTTCGTCTGAGGACGGCTTCCTTTAGGAGCGTTTTTCTCGCAGTGGACCTGGATCCACGAACGGCAGAGTACGCTGCAGAGTCCAGGGGTTTCTGCTGAGGGGGCTGGGATGTCAGTGGAGAGTGCTGCATAGCGGTTTGACAGGCTTAGGACATGGGCCACGGCGCTGGATGGCTCCTCGCAGTTCGCGGGTTCCTCATTCGGAACCGGGCGCTTAGGTGTAGAACAGGAGGGTCCAGAGCTGACAGACCTCTCCCACACGACAGTGTCACAGTATGCAGCGCTCAGTGACATAAGCCGTGAGTGCTGCCCGCCAGCGACATCAAAAAGTTTGGACACGAGTGACTGTTTATCCTGCAGCTCTGCAGTGAGGCGAAGGACTTCTTTACGGAGGTCTGCAATAGTGGCACGGTCCCTCTCACGAAGCTCCAATGTGAGGCGACTAATGTCGTTCGTGGTCATTGCAGTGTCACTTTCCATGTCTGTGGTGCGCTCGTGGTAGCCTCCGAGCTAGCGCGTTTCGATTGGGTCTTTGTGTTAAAAGACGTGATGCTCTGGAACCATTGCATTTAAGGTAAAAACACTAGAGTGTACAAAAGACACTAATACACCGTAAAAACGTGTTTAAAAGGCTTTAAAAGGCTTTAAAAGGCTTAAAAGGGTAAACAGAGCAGAGACGTCAAAAACGCGTGCTCATCAAGACGTTTTTTTTAATGGCTGCTCCATCTCATAAACATTATGTGTTTATGTCAACAAGCACAGCATTTAATTACTTTTGTTTGACTCAGAAATTAAGCATCATGGGCAACTAAAGCTCTCCATTTAGTGATGCATGTGTTTCAAGGTCTCATAATATCCCACACCTTTCAAATTAGACTTATTGTTAAGGTTGGCAAAAATAGGTCCTTACTCTCAAAACAGTATACTTTTATCACTACTTTTTACATGCATGTGTTTTTGACCTGTCATATCAACACTTATGGAAATTGGTAATCTGCCCCTTATAGACCATTAATGTGTTTTCTGTTGTATTTCTTGGATTTTAACAGTTTCATTCTCCGATCTGCGTTGGCGAATTCAACGGTTCTGTACAGTCCTCCGAGATAACTACTGTTGATATTGAATTGAATTGAATTGAACTTAATTGAATCGGCTTTGTCAGTGAAAATGAGAGTGCCAGCCCTCACTTACCTAATCACACTGACTTCAAAGTATAGTTCTAATAAGATAAAGAAATCCTGTTGTGGTTTGCTTTCTATATAAAAAAAAACAAAAAAGGTCAAGTGCTTAATCAACTCTTTTGATAACTTCACTTTTCTTGACTATAACTTGAAATACTTTGTCACGGAGTTGATAGGTTTAGTAGACTATCATTGATGTTACCTCTCCCACAGTTTTATCTGTAGTCTTCAATCCACACTTTATCCTCAAGTTTTTGCTTTTTTCCGATTTGCACCTCCATTCCATCGTTCAACATCGGCCTAAACCGCAACCATAAACAAGCCATTTAGCATTCCCCCATCTGAAACTTTATCACCGTATGATGCACCACTATTGCATGGGCCCGCACTCCCCTCATAGTCGCACCATTTATTTCCCACTGCTCCGTACTTTGCTGGAGTCACTTTGACGGAGCATTTTGCGAAAGGTCTCTGCTTAATGAAAACTTCATCAAGTGGCTGTCAGGACCACATTTGTGAGGATAAAAGGTTGTAAAACATTGAAGGTTTTTAATCACTATCGTCTCTTTCTTGTGCAGCGAACCGGCCCAAACACTTACTTGTGTACATCAATCCGTTTGGAGGCAAAAAGCAGGGGAAGTGGATTTACGACCAAAAGGTGGCGCCGCTTTTTCATAAGGCACACATCTCCACCGATGTGATTGGTGAGTTTTGGTTCTGTACAACTCGATGTAGCATACATTATGGTCTTGAGAATTTTGTTTTTTTTTATTCACCTGTATATTTTATTTTTTTGCCTTAATAGCTGCACCTGATTAAATGGTGCATTTATCAAAGATCGTATTGACTTTTTATAAATAAGGCCCACCAGAATAAACAATTATATTATTTAATGCTGTCAGGGAGAGGGGACACACCCTGTCATTCTTGACCCCAGACAACCAGATAATTAGTTCAATCGAGCAATACTCAACAATACTTCTAACATTCCTCAGCTGTATAAGTTACAAAGCAGTCCACTTTCAAACATAAACAATTATTTGAATTATTGAACTTAACTCAATTGTGTTAAGAAAAGTCTTTTCAGGTTTTACATTTTAGCCTGGTCGTACCACACCATAGTACATATTACATTTCGTACTAAGGTCTGGATTTGCTCCATTGAGCTCCGTTTACAGGTGGGAGGGGTTAACTCCTTTTGCAGATTGAAACGATTGGATCTGAGTTTACCGTCACGTATGTAATGTGCCCGAGTGAGTCGTTAGCATTTAGCATTTAGCCTAGCTTTAGCCATCTCCTTTGCCGCCCGTGGGGAGTAGCGCCACAATCTTTGCCAGCAATTTCATTTGCTAAACATTCCTCTTGCTCCAGCTTCAATTACTTGATAGAACCAGACCGGAATACTTAACTTTCGCATCTTCGCCATTGCCAAACTACAACCTGCCCGTTTGGCGCAAACTCATGTCACCCACATCTAAGTACACATCTAACACCCGCCTCCCGCGCTAACTGATTGGTCAGAGGAAATTTGACCGTTTGTAATCGCAAACACAAGGACCAGACACAGACGTTAAATGCAGGGAAAGGATGAAGATTGCTATGTCTGTAAACACAGCCACACATGAATATGTACCAGACTATGTTAAAATTGAAATACAGTCTGTTTTTATTTTTTATCTCATGTATTAAACCTAGAGTCCCCATGAAACCGCTAAAACATTTGCTGTGCTATGAAATCCATGCAACTAGTTCCTCGCTCTCAAAACTGTTGAGTTCCATCACAGTCATGTATTTTTGCGTCTGCTCTGTAGTATGTAAAAGATCAAATGGTTTATAGTGATATAAAGACAGTGCACTTTCTACACAATGGCCTGGCTTCCATACCAGATTCTCACAAAATTCTTCTTTTATTTACTGCTGTTGTTGATTTCAGGAGTTTCAGGGCTTCACATGTTGTCTGTTTCAAATCAAATGTATTACGCCCCCCCACCCCCTCCCTTTTTACATACAAATACCATCTACTACCAAATTACTATTCCCTTTTTTCTTGCTACAATTTTTACAAATCCTGGGTTTACCTAACTCGTGGTCATCCAACAGCATGATTGGTGAGACCCTCTCGCAGCCTCAGTGTTATTTAGATAAAGAATGAGTTTGTACAGGGCCTGCATAGATCAGCCGGGCCACAGTGGACTCCGTTTTGGCCCGAAGAGGATTGCACGGATATGATTTGCTCTCTCTGCCATTAATCACATTGCGCTTCTAAAGGGAGCAGTGATAGTTGATAAACAGTGGTATCCAAACACATCTATTATTCAGTGACTGGAGTGAAAATGATCCATCAAGTGCAGGTCCAATATGTTTTACTTATACTAACACAAACAGAAATAAAGTGTTGTGTTGCGATGTCTACCACATGGCTTAGAATGTTTGCCAGATGTTGCTACCTTCTGATGTCTGCTGTCGTTGTGTTCTTAGGCAAGACACTTAACCCCACTTTGCCTGAAGCCCTGATAGATCAAGGCCTGTGTCGGACAGAGCAGCCATCCTCCTGTGGACTCCCCACCTGCAGGAGGATCAGTGAGGGGCTGGTGCTCTGTGAATTGGCTACCAGCTGATTGCCACCACCCCTTCAACCCAGAAATGGACAAAATGGACAGATTCAACTTTTTTTTTGTAGAGCGCCTTTCCTACACAAAGCAACACAAAGTGCCTCTCAGCCCATGTTACATCAAACCTAAATCATAAAAATTAAAATCTTCATCAACATTAAAAAACATGATAAAAAACAAACATTAAGATCACAAGAAATATTAAAAACATAGAAAATAAAATCAGTCAAGTAATTAAAATTAATTATACATTAGACATTAAAATCACACATGGGATTAAAATCACCACTAGCCACAGTAAAGCTAAAACAAAAACAACAAAAACTCTTCAGTTGTATGAATAAACTGTTTTGTTTAAATAAATTGTTTTTAAACAATTGTATCCAGATAATCTTTCATTCGACAAAATGGTCATAGCTTACTTCAGATACAGAGAGAGGTGAAGATGTTATTGGACTATTACTGCTGAAGAGTGTGTGATATATTACCTAGGATGGCACAGAAATTGAAACAAGATCGGAGTCGTAGTTAGCACAGATGTGTAATGGAAGATTAAGTGACACTGAGTTTATGCAGTTACAGAGCGGGCCAATCACGCAAGAGAACACCTGGAAAAACAGGCCGATCTGGACCAATATGATGGGTGAGTGCGGGACTATGTACAGTTTATATCTTTATTGTCATTTCAGGGGAGGAAGCAGATGTTGGGGGACAAAAAATCCTTCTTTCCAGGTTGTAATGGTTTAGATACGTGCAAAAGAGTTGGTTGGTTACATATACAAGTTAGGTGCATTCTAGAGGACAAAAATAAACCAAGATGAAGAATGATGATAATCCACCAGTGTGTAATTGAATTGTTTTGGTTTAATGTCTGTTTGCATGACAATCACACTGGATAGGCTCAGAAAGGAAGATAAAGCTAGAAAACTACAAAATACTGCAAGTATTTGATAAAATCCATCCTATTAGTTCCTATCTCTAAAACAGTTTGGTTCTTCCACAACTTTTCATAATCTAGTAATCTTTTATTTGTATACCGCCTTTTCACTGCAGATCTGAGTCTCAAAGCGGTTTACAATAGTTAATTATGGGCATTTGTCTCTCACTCCACACAGAGATGGGAGCGGGGTCGCCAGTACAGGAGGCGCATGTCAGACCTAATGTACATATTTTTAGTGGTAGGGGAAACCGGAGTACCCGGAGGAAACTTACGCAGACACAGGGAGAACATGCAAACTCCGCTCAGAAAGGCCCTGGTCTGACCGGGATTCGAACCCAGGACCTTCTTGCTGAGAGGCGAGAGTGCTATCCACTCAGCCACCGTGCCGCCAAGCATGTATTTGTATCTAGGGTTGCCGAGATTAACCAATTTTACGATAATTGCGATTATAAAAGGCAGCGGTAGGTTAACCGTCAGGATTTTAGATGGCACAGTTTACCTCTGGTACGGAAAACTCCTCCATGAGGTGCAGTACGTGCCGCTGCACACGGAGCAGACTCACTGGTAAATTGAAGATGGCAGGTCAAGCACCCCCAAAGTTGTATCCACCACAACTTAAGTCAGCAGTGTGGGATCACTTTGGGAATCCAAAAGATGAACAATCTGTTGTTGTCGCTGAAGGAATTTCAACGTAGTATATAATTAAGATAACCATCCTTTGCTGTATGTCCAAGTCAAACTGCATAATTATCAATAAAGTTAATACATAAATGTTCAGATACGTGCCAAAACTGTCTGGCGGTCTTGTCTGCTTCTGCATATCAAAGTGAAAGTACTGCACTTGCATGTGCGCTGGAAGCCGCTCTTAGGCCCCGTTTAGATGGAGACGCTGCGCAGTTGTTGCAAAGCAATTAACAGAAACAACCAGGCTCTGTATGCAAATGGCACAGCGTTCATACGAGAATGAAAAACGAGGATGTAGTTCAACTGCCCGGCCAGTAGTGGGTAGAGGAACTTTACAACACGACATATGCTATCCCTACAGCAGTATATTCACTTCCTCAACATCATTCTCCTCAGGCTGCCGCAAAGACGTGAAAGAATGCACCGACATCATTCTGCATTTAACAGCAGCTGTGGAAATGGAAACTGAAACTACAGCTTTGCGTGGTTTTGTTTGGAAGGACAAAGAAGTAAAACTGCTCCTCAATGTTGCGCTTGAAGCACACGTAGCATTATTTGATCCGTCGCCATTGTTGTTTAATCAGAATAATCAAAATAATTTTTATTGCCACGTAAGTAACAGGAAGTCACAGACTTGGAAATTATGTTTGTTCTTGCCTACTGTACATGTCCAAATGTACATGCGCAGAAGTGGGTTGAGGTCATTGCAGTCAGAGAATTCAGACCTTTTTCATCACGCGGCTGTGAAACAGCTTCCGCTGTGCAGAATATCAGTTTTGTTCCACTCTGGAGGTCTTTTCTCAACGCTAGTGTTTTCATCCCCCTGAAACATCATCTTCCTGAAAACAAAAGTTCAGTACAATACCCAACTTGCTTTTCTGTCGCTGTGTCTTTGTGTAAATGGCATATTATATTTGGAGACACGGAAGATGATCCGAGGATGAGTTCAAAGACTCCAATCCTATCAGAGGATGAAAAAACACAGTTTGGCATTGATTCAATTATAATAGGTTTTTATTTAGTGAGGGCAGACATAAATAACCTTAGCCCTTTGTGCAGGGCGTTTTTTGGCAGGGTTAATTGTGGTTTGTAACATAGACTGTATATAGATTGACATTGGGCGGCATGGTGGCATCTCAGCAAGAAGGTCCTGGGTTCGAATCCCGGTCGGAACAGGGTGTTGAATTTGCATGTTCTCACCCGTGTATGCGTAGGTTTCCTCCGGGTGCTCCGGTTTCCCCTACCACTAAATACATTTACAATAGGTCTGGCATGCGCCTCCTGTACTGGCGACCCCACTCCCATCTCTGTGTGGAGTGAGAGGACAATCGACCACAATTGTAAACCGCTTTGTGACTCTGGTCTGTGAAAGGCGGTATATACTGTAAATAAAGATTACTTACTTACTTATATAATAAACCACTCGCTCATGAATAATGTTTTGTTCCAACTCGCTCTTGACTTGCATTGAAAAGTAAACTAATCTTTCTCTGTGAACATCTGTCAGACGTGAGCCATAAGGACCAGATGTCTTTCCAAAATACCCATTTAAGGAATTTGACTCAAACATGAGTTGTGTTAAAATTGGCTTGTTCCGCATTCGGCTAACACTATTGGTGACATTAGCACACAGGGAAGCACGGTGGCGCAGTGCTTAATACTTGTACGAGTACTTGTACTTAGTACTAGCAAGAAGGTCCTGGGTTCGATTCCACCTTCAGGCCTATCTGTGTGGAGTTTGCATGTTCTCGTGTGCGCCTCCTGTATGGCGACCTTGCTCCCGTCTCTGTGTGGAGTGGGAGACAAATCGCCATAACATTTGTGAAGCGCTTTGTGAATCTGGTCTGTGAAAGGTGCCACATGAATAAAGATTTCTTGCTTACACAGGTAATCCACTCCTTGTGCGGCCCAATTGTAATGTACACTAACTCTAGTCAACTATGGTCCAGTTTTGCCCAAAGTCACGCAGGTTCACAAGGATTAACGGCTGAGGATTTATTCAGCAACAGACCGATGTTGAACACTGCGGAGTCCTGCAAAAATGTAGCCCTATGCCGAAACTTTCTGTAAACCATAATGTGGTGATGAACCCAACCTATTAAATATATACATACAAATATTTAGTATTGTCATAGTTTAGTTTACTCTGTCATAGCTTGGTGATTCAAGTTGTATTTTGGTTGAAATGCGTTTGCTCTGTGAACATGGATAACTGTGCTGTTCAGAGCCCCGTTGACTCCATCTCGTGTCCGGCTCACTGAAGCGGATGTGGACCCATTAAACAGGGCTGCAGACTTCACATAATTCATGATGGGTGCATTTGTGGAAGTCTTTGTGAGGCAGTGAACAACGCTGATGCAGCCTCGCACAGTATGAGAGTGATCTTTTATATTGAATGCTTTCACAGTAGGATCTGCTGCCAACTCCTGTTATACTTTAGAATTCTTTGTTGAAGCCTTTTTGTTCTGTATGGGCTTATAAAAGTTTAAACAGACGGGTAATGGATCTTAGTTCTGCCACTTTTAGGTTTCTTTAGATTTAGGTTTATAATTATATTCTTTTTACACTGTATGTATATGGTGTTGCCACCTGCATGTGAAAGTCAGATCCCATTAGACCTCAGAGGCTGAGCAGGAGAGGGGCTGGTTAGTACTGTGATGGGAGACCTCTGGGAACCACAGTGGTTAGAAATAAAGATGAACAATAATAATTAGCCCGGTAAATGTATGATGTATTATCATTATCAATTAATGTTATAAATGTGATGGTTCACATTTAGCAGTACCAAAGTTTTGTGACACTAATGAGATTTTGGCTGTTATTTTATTGAGAATTGACTGGGCACAGTTGGCAGGAAACATTACACGCTAATCCTGAAAAGTGTAAATTTTACATTAGTATAGAATGTCAAAAAAACACTAAATTCTTTTTGTGTATTACATCGTTTATTGACTCAAAGACTTTTCTCAAGAGTGAAGAGGGATTAACAGCTAATTTTTCCTAGCCTTCTCAATATATTATCCAAGCTTAAATTACACTCACCCTGGAATTGAAAATAACCTTCATTAAAAAGGGGTGTAAGCCTTTGTCCAGTTTAGAACATTTGGTCAATAATATTTGTCCATCAATCCTCTGACACACAAATTTTTTTGAAGATTCAAAAGTTATATTGTAAATTCCATCTTAAAATTCTCACGCTGCAAACGAAAAAAGAAAGAAGAATAAATTTAGTTATATAGAAACAACTGTCTCAAAATAACATTCACAATGTAGTACTCTTTTTAACATGTCTCACTACGATATTGATAATATAATGCTTTTCTAATGCAAAAAGAAACAGCCGGCAGGTAACTGGATGCTAACTTATCCTTTAGCTTACAAACCACCGATTTTAACTAAGACACAAACCTTTTATGGAAAATATTCCAATAAATGTACCGTACCGAGTGGCTCCCCTACATACCTGAGGAATTTCCTGAAAAAGCAGAAATATTGAGATTTTCAACTCGTTCTGAAAAGTAATATCCTGTCATGGACTTACCGCAAAACCGAATTGCCTTTCTCGTGAAGGCGAAGATGCGGAAAGGGCGTGCGTAAAAAGGGCCTGTCTTCGTTTGTGCACACGTCCGCGCCTCCTACTCGCCTCCAGAGCAACAGCAGCAGGCACAGCACGTGACCCGTTCCTTCTCTGGCAGTGAATTGCTGTCTTCTTCAGCGCCAAACTGAAGCACGGAGCAGACTGTTTTTAATTTTTAAAGTTAGCCACGGAAGCAATGATTTTCGTTCCCGTCTAGCAGCGTAGTTATCAAGAAAGTACTGTAATCTATTACCATTCAAAGTACATAACTTATTTTCTAATCTGTTCCGCACTGTTTTAATGATCCGAGACTCACACGCACAGAGACTGAACAAACTGGCTCCAATAAAGAAACAGTTGGTTAAAGGCTGATAAATACTTATTGTCTCTTACCAACCAAATTATAAGTGGGTGTGTTGTGTGAATCAATAAACGAGATGAAAAAATTCCACGGATCCACGATTTACAACCTTTATCTCTGATAATGTAATTTCTGTGAAATGTTGACAGCGGGCACTTGCTGTTATTTGCTCTAACACTCTTTAAATTCCAAGCGATGCACTCGAATGTGCCCTCCTGTGCAGCTGCTTGCCGCTTTGTAATGACAGCCGCGGCGTCATGAAAGCCAGCACTAACTGGTACCAGAGCTCGACCATATGCAAACAGAACCATGTTGCAAGGCGGTCTCCCTCGTATCTCCCCCGTTACTCCCCTGTGTCTCTGACATTCTCTCTCCCCTACTCTTTCCCAAAAGCGCAACCAGCGCTCCCGAAAATAAAGCTCAGAACCTAAATTTTCCATTCGTTACCGATGCATCTGGTTGTCGCAAACACACACAAACAGGTCCCATTTACTTTTTATTTTGCCTACTGAGAGCCCTGTGAGTCCATTACTTGCCTTTTTGGTTGAGAGTGGAATAAAAAAAAAGAAAATATAGAAAAATCCCCACCTGTTACTTTATTGCCCAACTCTTGAATCTCATTGTATTGAGAAATACAATGTAACTATTGACTGTGCCAAGTTAGATAAATGATTCTCATCAAGTATATGAAGCTGTTGTTGTTGTGACCTATACTTCTTATATATTTAGAAAAAAGCCACCGCCACAAAAAAAGATAAAAGATATCAGGAGCATTTACAGTTGAAAGTAAGTAAGTAAACACAAGAAATAGCAAATTATGAATTGGAAGATTAATTTACTGTTAACAAACATAGGAAACTCAACCAACAAGAAGAACAATATAGAATGTATAGAAGCAACAGCCCTTCTTGCATCATGAGTTGGTATTTTGTATATGCAGGACTATGAATTTTTTTAGAGAATGAGCGATATGTCAAACAAGTAGGGAGCTACGCACGAGATTCTATCAATATTTTCCCTCTGTTTTATTTATTTATAGGAAATTGAAAGATCAAGCATGATTTATTTCAGTAATCAACAGTTCCCTGAACTTTTTAGAGCCTCAGTGAGGCTATTAATGATCATTGATTATTTAAGTCAGTATAGAATGAACTCAACACAAAACTCAGAAGCTCTGATACCAATGATTTTTTTTAACTATTAGAAAAAATCCTTAAACTGCTTCTCATTCCTCTACAGCTGATTTTGTATAGAAGCAACACACTATTCAAATAGATGGTATTAAACACAAAATATTCTGGGGTGAAACTCGACCCCCGTTCAATGGTGTAGACTCAGGTCTATAATGTCCCCACAAGATTGTAACAAGACCTACACCCATGCGCTCTGGATTAGAGCTGCGTGCAAACCTGTTTTGCCTATGACGCACACATGGCGCAGAACTAAAAAAGTCTGTTATGACTCTCAAAATCATTAAACAAAACAAGAGACTAAACAATTTATACGATGCCTTTGAACAATTGAGACAGCTGATAAAAGTTTTCACTTATCAGAATTTCTACTTTGAATCCTTCTTCACATGTCTCATTCGTGTGAATCGTGCCTAGGGTCTAAACCAGGGTGCACACATTTTTCACATGCACTACTTATAAAAGATCAATCAAAATGATCACCTACACAAAAATGCAATATCATATATTTATTTCAAAAAATATGCTTTATACCTACAATATATGTTTATGTACATGCAAAATCCGCAGACCAATTACACAACACAACACAATTATCTATGTACATATTTTTTGCATTACCCATTTACTCTTTGACTGCACTGAATGAATCGCCAGACATAGTCCGGAAAATTGGTGTAACTCCTGGCAAATTGTCGTGTTTAGCTTCCTGCACTGACGCGGTTTGTTGCGCAGGTGCCATCACCTAAGTTCATATAACATACTGATAAAACACAGATCAATTTGACGGTTGCCATGTCCATTGCCATCCTGTTTATTTAAATCCAAATATTTCCCTTCCCCGTTTATAAAATAATTTGCATCACACATCTGCTTGACAATCACATTCCAAACATGTGCGTCTTACTCCCTGTCCTGCTTGGGAAAAACACAGAAGTGGGCAGGAGTTCGATGCAGACCCGGTAACGGCACTTTTACAGTCATAGAAACACTCAGAGTAAGACGATTTTACAACACTGACCCCGTCCTCTCCCTGGTTATCCTTGTTTAGTCCTGTTTAGTCCGGTTTAGTCCTGGTTTTAGTCCCTGTTTAGTTGTTTTCAACGTTGAGTCCCCGCGATCACTTTGCTGCCTCTGATTGAATGTTCGCTGCTCCGACTTCCACATGAACATTATTTAAGGTATATATCCTCATCAGTGATCAAGGAATTTAGGGGGTAATGTGGCTGCGAGAACCAAAACTCGATTATCTCTGGTCTACACACAAATGCATTATCGGAGTTTTCAAAAATTTAAATGTGTACATTTTTTATTTATGTAATGCGATCTACCAATACTACCTTTGCGATCGACTGTATAGATCGCGATCGACTTATGAGCACCCCTGACTAAACTTTGGTGCTTTACAATGTAAACCGGTTCATCCGGGGTATGTCTTTTTGTTATTTTATTCATTTATCCACATTTCTATGACATTGCTCTAAAAACGTAAAAATGAAGGTCACGACTTTTTTGCAATTTATACTTAATTGTAAAAATAATCATTAAGACCACATACCACCAAGTAAAAAATTTTAGTCTCTTTTTGATGTGAAATTATCATGTTTGTCTAAAAAAAGAATAAATAAAATTGAAAGTGATACCTCTTAGCAAACCCTGATGTTGATACGCGAAGAAATACGTTCCAACATCCATGCTTCCCACTCCGATTTTGGACTTCAATACTTATTTATTTTGCATAAACTCAGTATACATTAAATTGCTTTTATTTTACGTCCGCCAAAGCTATGTTCTCACGGACATCTCTGAGTTCATATATTACCGCATTTTCCGCAGCTTAAAACAAACAGATAGATAGACAGAAGCAGTGCTTGGTAACGACACACACACGAGCGAACCCACACACACCACCACACACATCGCCGCTACTGGGGGAAAGCAAAAGCAAGGACTTGTTTTCGATGCCTACTCTTTGTTGTTTTTGGGTGTTTTGGCTATTGTTCAATAATATCTAAAAAAAATATAACCTTTATCTGTCTGACTCAAATAAGAAGATAACTATATAATCTCACACAGGAGACATTTACATTCACCTTTGGCATGGATAAAAACTCGCACGAATTGTGCAAAAAAAATAAGAAATGAGAAACATTTAATGGCAGAAAATATATAATTG